TTATTAGTGGGACAGAGATAGTATTATGTTACCATGGAGGGTAAGGAATTTGATGTTATACATAAGTGCTATATTGGTTTAGAATTCTTCCGGCACAACGAAGCTTAAGTTTTGCTTATTAAAGTAACATTTCCTTCAGAAGTTTAGAGAATAAAGTTTAGGACTCTTCCAAAAATTTAAACAAATGACAATTTTTTTGGATATGTTACACACAGGGAAAATCCCGAAATACGAGTTAAACTGTTTGAAAATTTCAAAATAAGACTCCCATGTTTTTATTTCCAAAATAAGAGTAATTATTGTCAAGCTTGAAAATTCATGTCATGTTTAAAGTCTGGTACTGAAAAAAATACAACAGTGATTACTCATATTTCGGGAGTAGTAACACGATACTCCTATCTGGAAATATACAAACGTTTTTAGTCCTATTTAAGATAATTTCCCTTAAACATGACATGCATCAATAAGACATCCACTTACTCTTGGCAATGATAATTTTTTATGCATATTATTTTGTGTGGGTTTGTGAGTTTTTTATTGTTAAAATGTGCTTTTATTTTTTTTCTCCTTACATGTGAGAAATTTTATAATTATTAGAGATTTCTCTACAATTGTATAACTATGAATATTGTTAGGGTATAACGGTCCCGAGAAAAATGTCTGTGTCATTTTAAAGTTAAAAATAATATTCTTTTTTTGTTTGCCTATTTATCAATATCCTTACACACTACAAAAAAACAACGTTTTTGGCACGGATTAGGCACGGAGCTTTGACACGGATTTGCCGAAATTCATAGGGTATTTGGCACGGATTTGGCACAGATGCGTCAAATCCGTGCCAAATTCCGTGCCAAAGTCGTTTTGTCACCAGCTATTTGGCACGACGCTGTGCCAAAAATAAGTTACGGTCCGTGCCAAAGTCGCCCAATCCGTGCCAAGTACGTGCCTATTTCGATGTTTTTTGTAGTGACAATGACCTTGGGCATTATCACGAACGCGCAATGCGCGTTACATAACTAGTCTTTAATAATCCAGTATTGTTTCTATTATTGTGCCGTATGTCTTTCCTATTCAATTTGATCATATCTTAGATAAAAAAAACATATGTAGTCATATTTCGGTGAATGAAACTGATTAGTTTTAGTAATATTAAATTATTTTTGTTGGAATAAATCCGATAATACTTTAATCTTCATATTGGAATTATCTAGAGAATTAACTGAGGGGAAGCGTACCTGACTCCATTGGAGATGATCTTTAGAGATCCGAGAGATGGAGGCTAGGGTTTGCGTTTTCTAGTTGATACACACCCTCAGGAATTATCTCTCTAGCGATGGGATACAGAAAGACGGAATGACGTGTTCAACTAGGGACCATAACCCCTCTATTTATAGAGAATGCTTAACCCTAATCAGCCCATCATTAATTAGGTTAAGCCCATGGGTTTCTACACAATTGGGCCCTATACCTTATTAGATAACTTATTAGCCCACTTAAATTAATATCCATAGGACCACTAAGTTTTGGGCTAAATATAAGATAGCATATAACATACAATTAACCCAATAAATAATATATTGTGAATATTATATGTAGTATAAGTCCAATAATCTAACAATCTCCCACTTGGACGACAAACACACGTACATATGTATACACAATCCTTAGTATTGTATGTTTACTTTAGGAGCTCCAGAATTTTGCTATCAAACTGTAGTCATCTTTAATCAATCCAGCCCATCAATTATATCAACATAGGACCAAAGAAGTCTTTGCTATATTCACATAACTAGACCCATCAATGATCACATATATTAATATAATAAACGACATGGATCAAGTATAGGTGTGTAGCGTGTAAATAACATGAAGTGTGGTCTGGAATAGAATGTCTATTTCCAACTGGTCCACCTTGAGATCAATAATGTAACTGTAAGAGTACATAAAACTTTAAACTTTAAACTTTATACTTTATTTCTGCAGAAAATATCCTTAAAAACTGAATTAACCAAAATTATAGAAACATTACAAACTCCCACTAAAACTCATAATCTTCAACTGATTTGACACCCATTTGAGCAACATGCTCATGAAACACCTTGGGTGGCAATCCTTTAGTGAGCGGATCCGCAATCATGGAGTTTGTGCTAATGTGTTCTATAGATAACTTTCCTTCTTGTACTCGTTCCTTAACAGCCTTAAATTTGACCCCAATGTGTTTTGCCTTGGTCAAACTACTGTTGTTCTTAGCGTAGAGGACTGCTGACCTATTATCACACAATAGCTTAAGTGGTTTTTCAATGCTATCCACTATGCGCAGTCCACTAACAAAATCTCGCAGCCATAATGCCTGATTGGATGCCTCATAACATGCTATAAACTCTGCTTCCATGGTGGAAGTCGCTGTAAGAGTCTGCTTGATACTCCTCCAGGAGATAGCTCCTCCAGCAAGAATATAGATGTAACCCGAAGTGGATTTCAAGGAATCCTGACATCCAGCAAAATCAGAGTCGGTATAACCAATGATCTCAAGCTGATCCGATCTCCGATATGTGAGCATATATTCCTTTGTTCTCTGTAAATACCGCATGACCCTTTTGGCTGCTTTCCAATGATCCATTCCCGGATTGCTCAAATATCTGCCTAACATCCCAACAATGTATGCCAAATCAGGTCTTGTACAAACCTGAGCATACATCAAACTTCCTACAGCCGAAGCATAAGGAATGTTCCTCATTTCTTTAGATTCAAAATCATTCTTAGGGCACTGCATGAGACTAAACTTGTCTCCCTTAGAAACTGGAGTATCTCCTGGTTTGCAGTCTTGCATGCCAAATCTTTTGAGAATCTTATCGATATAGCTCTTTTGTGAGAGTCCAAGAACGCCTTTGGAGCGATCTCGGTGTATTTGAATTCCTAATACAAAAGAAGCCTCACCAAGATCTTTCATTTCAAAATTCTTTGAAAGAAATTTCATAGTTTCGTGCAATAAGCCTATATCGTTGCTAGCAAGTAATATGTCATCAACATACAAAACCAGGAAAATATGTTTACTCCCACTGAACTTGTGGTATATACAGTCATCACTGACATTTGGTTGAAAACCAAAAGATATGATTACTTTATGAAACTTGTGATACCACTAACGAGAAGCCTGCTTGAGCCCATAGATGGATTTCTTTAATTTGCAAAACATTTTCTTTGGATCTCCCGAAACAAAGTTTTCTGGCTGCTCCATATAGATTGATTCCTCAATGTCACCATTGACAAATGCAGTTTTCACATCCATCTGATGAAGCTCAAGATCAAAATTTGCCACTAATGCCATTATTGTTCTAAAAGAGTCTTTCGAAGATACCGGAGAGAAAGTCTCTTTATAGTCAATTCCTTTCTTTTGAGTGTAGCCTTTAGCAACAAGACGAGCTTTAAACCTTATAACATTGCCCTTTGAATCCCTCTTGATTTTAAATATCCATTTACAACCACTGGGTTTAATACCTTCGGGCAATGAGACTAGCTCCCAAACGTCATTGTCACTCATAGACTTCATCTCATCTTTCATGGCATTAATCCATTCTTGAGAGTTAGAACTTTCCATGGCTTGACGGAAGTTGATTGGATCATCTTCCGCAAAACCAACATCTGATTCTTGTTCTTGGAGGAAGACAATTATTTCTTCCACTAAATCCCAATTTTCCTCATGTTCTTGGAGAAATACAATATAATCATCCGGAATCGCACTTCTCCTCTCTCGAGTGGATCTCCTTAATGCACCTCAAGTTCTTGAGGTTGTTGAGTTTGATACTCATTAATAATTTCAGGTACCTGATTGGGGATGTTTTCGAGATTGTCTTGAACTGAAGTTGTTTCTTGAACATTATTAGGAATAAAAATATCTTGATCATGTTCAATGACAACTGAAGGGAGAGTAACATGCTCTTCCTCAAGAACAAAATCTCTAACCTTATCTCCCCACCCCCAAACTCAATATCCTCAAAGAACCGGGCATTACCCGTCTCAAAAATAGTCCTGGTAGCGGGATCATAAAATTTATACCCCCTTGACCTCTCAGAGTATCCTACAAAATAGCTACTAACTGTTCTAGAGTCCAGTTTCTTTTCATTTGGCCTATAAGGCCTTGCCTCAGCTGGACAACCCCAAACATGGAAATGATTTATATTGGGTTTCCTTCCCGTCCAAATTTCATAAGGAGTTTTAGTTGTAGCTTTAGTGGGAACTCTGTTGAGTATGTAAGCTTCAGTTTTTAGTGCCTCTCCCCAGAGTGAATCTGGTAAAGTAGTATGACAAATCATACTCCTAACCATGTCCCTTAATGTACGGTTTCGTGTCTCAGCAACACCATTCATGCTAGGAGTTCCAGGCATAGTGTACTGAGGAACAATCCCACACTCCTCTAGGAATTTAGCAAATGGACCTGGACGTTGTTCACCGGAACCATCATATCTACCATAGTATTCACCACCACGGTCAGATCAAACGGTTTTAATTCTTTTGCCTAATTGATTTTCAACTTCGGCCTTATAAAATTTGAACACGTCTATTGATTGGGACTTTTCATGAATGAGATAAATGTAACCATAACAAGAGTAATCATCTATGAATGTGATAAAATCTGTTTGACCATTTCTACATGGTGTAGGGAATGGTCCACAAATCTCTGTATATATCAATTCTAATAGATCTGAAGCTCTCTCGGCACCTAATCTCCTTTTGTTCGTTTGTTTTCCCTTAACACACTCAACACAAATATCCGAATTTGAGGAGTCAAGAGAATCAAGAATTCCATCGGACACAAGTCTCTGAATTCTTTCTTTAGAAATATGTTCTAAACGCTTGTGCCAAAGTGATAATGAATTCTCATTGATTAATTTTCTTTTAGTACCACGAGTACTTACATGCAAGGTTTCATTATATGAGGCAATTATATCAAGTGAATATAGATTATCATAAACTGATAAAAGACCGGTACCAATAAGCTTTGAATCTTGAAATAGACTGAACTGACTATTTCCAAATGAACAAGAATAACCAAATTTGTCCAATGCAGAAATAGAAATTAAATTCCGCCTAAATGACGGTACAATAAATGTCTCTTTCAAATCCAAATAAAAACCAGTCTTTAATAATAATCTAAAAACACCGATAGTCTCAACTTCAACCCGCTTGCCATCACCGACATAGATGTATCTTTCACCATCAATTGGTTTTCGGCAGCTCAGGCAACCCTGCATGGATACACTTATGTGAGTAGTAGCACCGGAATCTACCCACCAAGTGTCCTTGGGTACCAAAATTAAATTAACCTCAGAACAAACAAGAGCAAAAGACATACCCTTTTTCGCATGCCAGACGTGGTACTTAGTGCAGTTCTTTTTCTTGTGATTAGTCCCTTTGCAAAAGAAGCATCCAGATTCCTTAGTTTCTTCCTTAGTTTCCTTATGATGCTTTCTTTGAGGCCCTGAATTTACAGCTTCCTTAAATTTCCTTTTCTTGCTGCCCTTAGAGGTAGATGTCAAATGAGCACTTTCAGTCTTATCTTGCTCTTTGAGAAACCATTTCTCCTTAATGCAGTTGTAACTGACTTTAAATTGATTAAATTGAGAAGGAAGAGAGATCAAAACTAAATACACAAGCAGTTCCTCAGGTAAAATGAGCTTAAGCGCACTTAGTTTTGAAGCAATATGAGACATTTCCAAAATGTACTCCCTTATGTTCCCTTTGCCTTTGTACTTCATGGAAACAAGAGTGCTCAAAAGAGTACTAGTTTCCGCCTTTTCGTTTTTAGCAAAACGCTTTTCATGTTCGGCAAGGAATGATTTGGTATCATCCTCATCAGACATAGTGCCCCTGAATGATTCTGGAATTGCACGTTTCATGATCATTAGACTCATGCAGTTTGAGCGTTCCCACCTCTCCATCTCCCTCTTTTCATCAAGGGTAGATGTATCCTTAAGAGCGGCGGGTTTCTTAGTCCGGAGTGCAAGGTCTAGATCCATGCAACCGAGAACAATCATAATGTTCTATTTCCATTCCTTAAAATTCGTGCCATCAAGCACATGGATGCTATTAATATTAGCAGATATTGTAGCAGCTGAATTGTTGACTGAAAGAGAACAAAAATAATATAAATTATATGCTCTAAAAACTGAAATAAACTTGATAATTCGTTTTAAATTTAAATATTAGCAATCCACATCACAAGATACCTAGCGCAACATCTAATCTTGTCTTTGGACATAAATTAGACTTGCAAGTGGTACTCTTGGTGTAATAATAAAATTTTGATAATAAAATCATGTTAAATACTAAGCCTTTCTTTGGACCGACTTAATATTCACATGAAAACCTCATAATTATCACAAATTTTATTATCACAAATGTACTCAAATTTCGGCCAAATAATAACCTTCCTTAGGGCCGATTATTATCCGCATGAAATAAGAAGTACACAATCATCTTAATATATGAGTTAATTAATTTCAACAAGAGAGACTACTTTGGCAGCATGTTGTGTCAATTAACTAACCCAAATATTAGACACGCTGATACGGAGTATTAAATAAAAAAAATCCGAAAATTAAAATTGGGCGAATTTCTCCGAGTCACATGCAAATGTGTTATGTATAACAATAATTTGTAAAACCCGTTCCCAAACGTTGTGCGATCGCAATAAATAGGCTTTATACATCTCACAACACATAATACATACGGAGTATTTTTCAAGCCGTAAATCATGATCACCAACAAAAATAAATTATTTCAGTAATATCCAAAATTTCAATTCTAATAGAACTGATATTTGCCATAATTACATATAAATATTTAATCACCAAAAACGGTAATAATCACATATATGTACCGAATTACCCAACTTCCAAAATTAAATCATCGAGAAACTGGAAGCAGATCAAAGTGGTAAATATACGATGACTAAATATAATACACCGATATTACGATTACCACCTACTGCTTTTTAAAACCAAAGTTGATATATTACGAATAAATTCCCCGGCCCTTATCTCAATATGAGGATTGATTATTTTGAAAACAATAAATACAAAAATTAACTATACGGCACTTCAAGATTTATACAAAATAAAGAGAAATCTTAATTCCCACTGTAGTTTTCGATTGAGTGCCCCAAATACCATTCCACTGACTCTAAAAATCAAAGTGAATACACATACCCAAAATAATCGATCGTGAGATTGACTAACAAAAAAAGAAGACCAACCCTACGGCACTTCAAGATCGGCAACATACAAAATAAATGAAAAAAAAAAATCCACTGTAATTTTCTAATCAATAGATTGCCGAGTGAATCTCAAAAGAAAAATAAAATCAGGAATATTATATTAATTTCATCACATATTGCAGATCATGGCCGATATGATTATCTCAATACAGATTCATATGAATTCTGATTCCATTGGAAAATTGTAATCGGCTAATCGCATATGAGATTAATTGAAGTGCCCAAAATAAATAAAATCCGAACTGCCACATTCAAAACGAAACTAATATGACAGATAAAAAAGAAAAAGAAAAATCCGATGTTCCAATCGTAGATGATTAATACGATTGAGAAAACAAAACAAAAAATTCGATTAAGAATCCATCGGTTTGTTTTAACATTTAACTGCCGATTCAATACATATATTAGGAACGAATTGCAAAAACGCATAGCATTACCCTTGTTTCTTTTGCTCGGCAGGTTATACGACAAAAGCAAAACACAAAAAATTTCAATCGTTTAAGATTGAAACAAAAGTATGAAAACTCCAAATAATTCAATATGAAGAAGGCTCTCATACCAATTGTTGGAATAAATCCGATAATACTTTAATCTTCATATTGGAATTATCGAGAGAATTAAGGATGTTTTTACTTGGACTGTAATTTGCTGGTCTGGTCTGGTCTGAACTGGTCTGGTCTGGTAAGGTCTGGTTTCTTTGTATTTTTATAACTATCCAAGTCTGGTCTGGTCTGGTCTGAACAGGTCTGGTCTGGTCTGGACTGGTCTGGTCTGGGGCAAATTACAGTCCAAGTAAAAACATCCTAACTGAGCGGAAGTGTACCTAACTCCGATCTTTAGAGATCCGGGAGATGGAGGCTAGGGTTTGCGTCTTCTAGTTGATACACACCCTCGGGAATTATCTCTCTAGCGATGGGATGCAGAAAGACGGAATGACGTGTTCAACTAGGGACCATAACTCCTCTATTTATAGAGAATGCTTAACCCTAATCAGCCCATCATTAATTAGGTTAAGCCCATAGGTTTCTACACAATTGGGCCCTATACCTTATTAGATAATTTATCAGCCCACTTAAATTAATATCCATAGGACCACTAATTTTTGGGCTAAATATAAGATAACATATAACATACAATTAACCCAATAAATAATATATTGTGAATATTATATGTAGTATAAGTCCAATCATCTAACAATTTTTTCCAAGATTTTGTGCTAAATGTGGTGCAAACATTAATGTTTCTTGAAATGGTGTGCAAGTCCAATATATCACTAAAAGAATTTGAGTGCAAAGTCAAACTCCTCCTATTTTAAATCACTAAATTATTACATCGTTAAAAATTTATTCAGAATACTATTCCAAATAAATAATGGAAAGTTCCAAAAATACGAGTAAACGGGTTTTGAAACTTTATATTAATGGTATGTTTTCTATTCGGGATAGCATAACATGATAGTATTTATTGTTAGGAATTTAATTCACGCACACGAAAATCAATAACGAAGAACACGCGAAATTTGGTAACCCAGTTCGCCACGAATGACTACGTCTGGGGGCGCTACCAAGCCAGGAATATTATTGCTATTTTCGGATCCACACACAATGATTACAAGGGAGAGAGCTTGCATTTATAGAGAAGTAAATCCTAACCCCAAGGCAACTAGGATGTGTTTCCTAAAATAAATTAAGAAACCGTCTCTAACATCTTACATTTATAGCCGTTTTGGAGTTGTTACTATGAGAATAGTTGCAATACTATCATTAATGAAAATATTTTTCAATCATTGGAGTAACAACTCTTATTTTAGAAAGAAAAATGGGTTTTTTACGAGAATATTACTAAAATAAAACTTATTTACATAAATATGACTATTCATTACTACAACGTAATGCTGTGGTAACTAAAGTTCAAAATTTGAACTTGAATTACTATGATTTCATTACTACTCTAGTAATGAATCATATTTTTGTAAATCATCTTTATTTTGGTCATATTTATGTAATTATTTCAAGAAAAATAACACCTATATAGGAATTTCACAACCCATTTAGTCCTATATACACATTTTGAATCATTATGCAACACAAGAGTGAATTATATAGACATTTTGAATCATTATACTCTTCCAAATGTATAATTATGTTGCTGATGGCCACTAGCTAGCTGTGATCAAACGATGGTAAATGAAACAAACAAACAAACAAACAAACAAACAAACAAACAAACAAACAAACAAACAAACAAACAAACAAACAAACAAACAAACAAACAAACAAACAAACAAACAAACAAACAAACAAACAAACAAACAAACAAACAAACAAACAAACAAACAAACAAACAAACAAACAAACAAAGAAGAAGAAGCACTAGAGATCGATCGACGACCAGATATAGAGAATACAGAAACAACCCCTTTTTCTCTATATATTTAGGTATATATTTGCAATGCAAAGACATGTTTATTTTATGAGATTAATATAATAGTAGATCATACATGCATTATTAGGTAGGTACTAGGTAGGTTCTATAATGATCAATAGTGGACCCAGAGCTTTTGTTACGGAGGGGCACTGCAAAATGGATAGAAATGGGTCGGGTCGGATCGGGTCACGTCGGGTGTGAGAATGGTCTATTTTATCTCGTGTAGATAATTTTTTAAAAGGGGAATAATTTATTCAATGTCGGTTCCAAAGGATGTAAACCTATGATTTATAGGTCTAGTTTTAACCTATTAAGACAATTTTGAACATAATATTTAGTTTTTTGAAAGAAAAACATGACATGAATTATAACTGAATCATCTTTGCACTGCTTATAATTTTCATATTATAAACAATCAAAATTTAACATTTACAATTGGGACGTGTCTAACTGTAAGCAATCATTCCATAATTTCATAGTCATTTAAATGTCTTATAACAATGTGCATATACTCTTTAAAGGGATTATTACCTTATTTAATAGTTATATAGAGTATTTTTCTATCCAGATAGTTGGGGCACTATACGTATTGGTTACTAATATTAAGGTATAATTTGAACTAACTTTTGTGGTGTTGGCTGGGAAAATAAAGGTTATCCTGATGCTGGTGCCGTTGCCCCGCCCAAAATGGAGAAGATGAACTATTGGTCCAATGTGCCCAAAGGAGATAAAGATTGCTGCTACGATATTAAAGCATGTTGTTATAACGTGGTCAAACTCCATTTGTGCAGCTGCTTCTATGATGACGAGGAGTGCTATGAAGTGAAGTATCCTCGTGCTTGAATTGAAAGGGCGTCGCCGGCCAATCCTAAATTCGATCATTGAATTGATCCAATCCTCCTGCTTTACTTTATTTATATGTCGTTGTACACCGTATTAAACCGTTGTCTTAAAATGTACTCCGTATGTTCTTCGCAAAAAAAAAAAACAAAGTACACCGCATGTTGCAGTATCTGTTACGTTGCTCTGCGGTTCCACTATCTACGATAGTATATCTCTATGTCATGCGATTTTATTTGTCTATCCACTTTAAAAAATAATTTCGCTAATATCACTTTTTTGATGGACTTTCCAATGACAAGGATGACTGAAAACAAAAAAAGAAAGATGACCCAGCGGTCGTCTTATTGAGACGCATCTTCCGGTATTTTTCTTTTAATTTTTCAGGCAATTTTGAAAATCGGAGTTACTTTCAACGGTCTTTTTCAGACATTTTTAAAGGTGTGACCTTCTTTGATAACAGAATTCAAACACATGAACCACTTTGATAAAGAATGAAACACATGACCCTATCTGAAAACGGGCCCAACCACAGGTACCTTTTCCGTACTTTTCCCTTTTTATTTCAAATATTTGAATGAAAATATTTTATTTTATTTTTGAAAATAATAGAAATATTTTATTCTATGCATCGCTTTTTAAGTAGCCGATGCAATAGCCAATGCGATAGGGCTTCGTAAAAATCTTGTTCACAGTTTAAGCATCGTTTTGCTAAATTAAGGCGATGTATAAACTTTTTCAATTTTAATTAGGGAAAGTTATCGAAATAAGACTAAAACAGTTTGAAAATTGCAAAATAGAACTGTCATGTTTTTTATTCCCAAAATATGAGTAATTACTGTCAAGTTAGGAAAATACTGCCATGTTTGAATTCTGGTACTGCCAAAACATGATATGACAGTAATTAGTTCTATTTTGAAAATAAAAATATGACAGTCCTATTTTGAAATTTTCAAACCTTTTTAGTCCTATTTGAGATAATATTATCTTTTTTTTTTAATTATAAGGATTACACATCCCATAATTCATAAACAAGGGACTCATAAACGTTATGCATCGCATAAAGTGTGCAAGGGATGCATAAAGGGTGACTCGTTAGAATAATACTCCGTATTGTAGTAGTGATTAATCCAATCACACATTACGTGGACAACAGTACTAACTAAACCTATTTGTTTCTGCAAACCAAGGTTTTTCAAAAGGGATTAGGTCTCCAATATTACTAAAAATTAGCAAATGGACAAAAAAGAGAACTTTTTAAAAAAAATCCAGAAATGTGATTAAAAAAGGTTGAACAGACTACTTTGCCCTTACTAAAGCCCAGCAGACCCGCTGCAGTGACTAATATGTTACAGTGACCAATTGACCAATACATTACAATGACCTATGTCACAGTGACTATATTCCCAGTGACCGATGATACAGTTACTATATACCCCAGTTACTAATGACACAGTTACCAACACTTAGTGACCCAGCTCTAGTGACATCCCGACTACCATGACATCCGACTCCAGACCACCCCGATCTCAGTGACCAAATTGACAGTTACCAACGCTCAATGACAATCGCCTCACTAATCACCGGAGTTCTAGTAACCACCCGACTTTAGTGACCACTCGTCTTCCAGTGACCAATTGATGTCTACCGTCTAAGAGCATTTCCGCCCAGCCCTGGCCTGCCAGTCTGCCCATGCCCCGCCCCACCAGTCCACCTGTGCCCCACCAGTCAACCCCTTCACAACCAGCCCACTCCAACCCTGCCCATATCACACTACACTAGCCGACATTGCTCCACCACCACCGGAAACCACCACCGGAACCCCGCCAGCTAACTGCCAACACTGCACTGCGACGTACACTGGCCAGTGACCACCACTGTACCCAACCAGTGCCTCCGCCGACCACCACCGCCCACCCTGATCTGACTCCCCAGCTCTCACACCCCCAGCCCCCAGCCCTCTCCGGCACCACCCTCCTCCACAGCCATGCCCCGCCAGCTCTGTCGCCTACCCCACCAGCCCATCCTTAGGCTCTAGTAACAGATCCGCCACCACTTGCACCGACCAGATCCGCCGCCACTTGAACCAGTCAGATCTGTGAAGCCTAGCCGCGCGCCATGCAAAGATCCAACATCGTCAATTCGTCGTTGCCTCGCTACAACCGCCACTGTCTGCCACGTAGCCACCAAACCCTAGCGCGGTCTGATTTCCATCTCAATTACCCCTCACCATGAAATCAGCAATCGATTCGAGAAGAAGAGAAAAATGGAGAAGATGAACCTGGAGGACGGCGACGATGCTCCTAGACATCGGCGACGATGGAGGTGCTCCGACAATGGAGGTGCTCTGGCGGTGGAGCAACTAATAGATGGCATAAATTCGTCGGAGATGACAGAGCTTCAAAGGAGATGGCAGATATTCGACGGAGATGGCGGAACTTCGAAGAAGATGGCAGAGCTTCAACCGTCGTCACTGATGCGATGATGGATGCGGCGGACATGGATGCTCCCAGTGCAGGTGAGGGAGACGAGCGGATTTCAGATAGGGCAAATGATTTGTCGCATATGAGAGAATTATGTGAGGGGTGTTTCTGTCCCCTCAATTATTATTGGTCTTATTTTTGTCCAAATTTAAAATGACCTTTACTTTTGTCTTTTAAGTGTGTGGTAGTATTAGTCCGGTCATTATTTCTTTTCAAAAACCTTGACCCAAGATTATGGATCCGGGTACCATGGGCAACCCGAATACGTACCTAAAAACGGGCCACCCGGAAGTGCAATTAAAGGTCCAATTACTTGTGGGCTGCTACTTTAGCCTTGGTGTGGGCCCGTAAGGTCCTTGATGAACTATTGCCTGACCGGGAACGTCCAACTTAATAATTCTAGTACTACCTCCGTCCCGCTAAGAACTTCCTACTTTGACCTACACACATATTTAGGAAACAAATTTGACTTTACTGTAGAGTTGATAAGTCCGTATTTTAACACGCATTTGATGCGTGTTAGGATCGACTTTTGATGGTTTTCCTAGCTTTAAGGTGTTGCAAGTCTCAATTTTAGCTCAAGTTATGTTTATCAGGAGTCGGTTCGAGTTTTGTGTCATTTGGAGTCAAAATCAGGAATTTAGAGTTCGGCACCGGCACTTGAGGAGCAATCGGGATGATTCGAGAAGCATTCGAGATTGATTTGAGATCTTTGGAGGTCACCGGGAGGTTCACGATGAAGATTTGATCACAAAAGAGCTATAGGATTGGTTACGGGATCAAAAGAAGATGAATAGAGTTGGAAAACGGCGATCAGGATGATCTTCTGTCGGTATTTCACTCATATCTCTTTGTAGAAACATCCAAAGGACACGATTCAAGTTGCATATGAAAGCCAACTTCTAGGGCTACAAATCATATGACTACACAATTGCTAGAATCTAAGAGGAGCAAGGTGAAAACAGACGATGACGTCAGATGATCTCTGTTGCTATTTCAGAATGCCACCTTCCACCATTTTATTCATATCTCTTGATTGGATTATTCAAATCCAATTCCGCAAGTTGTGGTGGATAGATGACTTCATTATGTACAACTTTTGTGAAGAAAATTTTGTCAAATTCGGACTAGAGAAACAGTGCAAAACAGGCCACGCACGATCGTGCCTGAAGGGACGCATGATCGTGCGTGAAAGCTGAAAATAGGAGAAGCTACTGCCTGCTACGCACGATCGTGCATAGCCAGGGACGCACGATCGTGCGTAGCCCCGTATTACACGAACTTAATTCCCAACTCGGCTAGAATTCGTATTTTTCCCCATTTTTCTATAAATAAGGCCTCCCTAACCCCTTTTTGGGGGTTACGAACATTACGGAGAGGCCTAGGGACGAAATTACTTCGTTTTTACGATTGTTTACTTCAAGACCCTGGGATTATTTGTAAGTTCATCTTTTTAATTAATGACAATTTATTCTATTCATCCCAATTCTGTTGATTCTTCAATTATGAATTGTGAGTAGTTTAATTAGAGATTTGGGGTTGATGAAGGGGTTAATCATGATGTATGGCTAGATTCTTGATGGTTTAATTGCATGAATGCCGTTTAATTTGTGTTTGAATAATTTAACTGATATCTCTTGTAACCTAGACTGCAGCTAGAATTACAATTGCATGTAGAATGAATTAAGAGAGATCTAATTTGTTCTAGGACACATTCACACACACTTAATCGTTCACTAAGAGATTAGTAGCGATTAAGGGGCCGTAAGCTCACTCGTCTTAGCAATAATTTAGGATCTTGTCGCATGAGAGATCATCCTGGTCCACTAAATTATTGTTCTCTACGCCGCGAGAGCGGTAAGAACTTAGTAATGATTAGCTAGGCTCAATTAAATTAAATTCATGTAATTAGGCCTGATCTGCCAGAAATCTGGTTACCCCAGAATCAATCTCTGTTCCCTTCGTCGTTTATTAGAAAGAAACCAATCTTTTATTTTATTCGTTAATTTGCATTACTTTAATTTTCCCAACCAACCAATCTCGCACAATTGCATTTTATTTTATCTATTTCTTTTTAATCGCTCAATTTAGTTAATCTTTAATTCCCTTTTGTCCGTCCCTGTGGAGACGAAGCCAAAGTGTGATTCTGTTCCATTGGGAAAGCCGCAGGCTTTGCCCCAAGGAGCCCGGATTCTTCAATAATATCCAATGTGTACTTGCGTTGACAAAGAAAAATACCATGCGCACTACGCGCCACTTCGATGTCAAGAAAATATATAAGTACACCAAGATCCTTCATATGGAAGCAGGAATTTATATATGATTTACAATTAATTAAGGCATGCGAATCATTTCCTGAAATAATCAAATCGTCCACATAAACCAGCACATTTAACTGAATAACCCCTTTGCGGAAGGTAAAAAGACTGTAATCAGAATAAGACTGACGAAACCCATAATTTTTCAAAGATGCCGCTAACTTAGCGAACTAGCACCGCGGGGCCTGGCGTAAGCCATATAGAGATTTCCGCAACCGACACACTAATCCGGGTCGAGAGGAGGAAAACCCCGGTGGAAGTTTCATATAAACTTCTTCATGAAGGTAGTCGTGCAGAAAAGTGTTATGAACGTCCATTTGATGTAATTCCCAATTACGAGTAGCAGCAACAGCTAGAAACGTACGAACAGTAACCATTTTTGCCACAGGGGAAAAAGTCTCAGCATAGTAAATATCTTCCTCCCGGTGATTACCAAACACGACCAGGCGAGCTTTATACCTCTCGATCGAGCAATCAGAATTATATTTGATCTTGCAGACCCACTTACATTCTAGCGCCTTCTTGCCCTCCGGCAAAGATGCCATATCCCATGTGTTATTATTCTCGAGAGCTTCGATCTCACGCTGCATGGCATCACGCCATCTATCATCAGTCATAGCCTCCCGAAAAGAGCGAGGTTCACGACCTGCAAGTAATGCTCCAAGAAATGCACGATATCGTGCAGAAAATTTATCACATTTTATATAGTGAGTAATAGGGTATGGCGTACCTGAGGAACCAGACGGGACGGGTGATGACGGAGATGGGCTTAGGTTCCGAACATGATTTGTAACACAATCCCGAAGAAGCACAGAAGTACGTTTAGGACGCATGCCTCGACCCAAAACAGGAGGCTCAGCCGAGGTGTTGTCTACTGAACTATCTACTACTGCATGCTCGTGCGTGATAGGTGTAGTAGTACCTGGAGTCTCATGCATTTCTTCAGTACGTGCGGCAGATTGTGATCCTTCCAGTGGATCATCATCAACCATAATGGGATCAGTAGCATGCATAGGCACTTTGGACATTCCATCTACAGATTGTGAGAAATTAGAAGCCACCAAAAATGGAAATTCATTTTCATGGAACTGGACATCACGAGAAACAAAAATGTCACCCATGATACAATCATATAGTTTCCATCCCTTCTTGCCATTTGGATACCCAATAAACACACAATGTCTACTCCTAGGAGCGAATTTATCTCCTTTGGATTTGAGGTTGTGAGCAAAGCACAAACACCCAAAAATTCTCAAATGTAGAAAATTCGGTGCAACTCCTGTGAGAACTTCATACGGGGTTTTACCCCCCAATAACCCAGAAGGTGTTCAATTAATAAGATAAACAGCTGTCAAAACACACTCGCCCCACAGTGCAATAGGAATTGCTACTTGAAACATCAAAGCACGAACCACATTTAAAATATGTCGATGCCTACGATCCACTTTCCCATTTTGTTGGGGTGTGTGAACGCAAGTAGTCTGAAAAAGAATTCCTCGCTCCTCAAAATACGGCAATAGACATCTAAACTGCGTTCCATTTCCACTATGAACAATTTTCACAGGTACTTCAAATTGTTTTTCAATCATAGCAATAAAAGATAGAAAATATTTATGCACTTCCTTCTTGTCCCGCAATAAATAAACCCACACTGCCCGAGAAAAATCATCAACAAGTGTCATAAAATAAATGGCATCACACGTAGACGGGGTTTTGTAAGGCCCCCACAAATCACAATGAATCAACTCCAAAATTCGACTCGCTTTATTAGTACTAGTAGGAAAAGAATCATGAACTTTTTTGGCTTGTGGACACACCTCACAATCTTTATTTAATTTCTTTTTGAAAAAACCAGTGCTAAAAATAGGCAGTAATTTAACAACACGGTCTGACGGATGACCCAACCTACGATGCCACAATTCAAACTCATTCACTTCTGCCTTATGGACAGCATGGATTTCTGGAACACCTCAGAAGTAATAAAGCCCATCTCGTCATTCACCTGCTCCAATCAGGCTCCTCAAGCGTAGGTCCTGTATAACACAAGAAGAATTAGTGAAAGTGACAATACACTTAGACTGATAAACCAATTGAGAGACCGAAATAAGGTGACAACTTAATCCAGGCACATAAAGAATATGATGAAGCACTATATGCTTAGTGAGGTACGTACACACTGCCCTCCAAAATGGCAACTGCACGTCGCCCATCCGGCAACCCAACCGGGCACTCATGTATACGAGTGATATTTGTGAGACAAGAGGAATCCCCGGTGACATGATGTGATGCCCCAGTATCGATAATCCAATCAAAAGATTTGCACATATCAGTCATTCAATTGGTGGAGCGTGTTTCTCCATTAATTAAATTCAAGAGTGCTTGCATTTGCTCCGCACTTAATTCATGCAAACCTTTTGGTTCAATTTTAGACGTACAGCTGCTACCCATGTCCCACGTCGCCAAAGAAGCAGTCACTGCATGTGTTCGTACACTGCCTCCACGCCCAGCCGCAGAATTCTAGGCACGATTACGCTCCTCCCACCATTCCGGGTATCCGTGAATCTTAAAACAAGCATCAATTTCATGCCCCTTCCGTTTGCAATGCGAGCACGTCACCTTTACCCGTTCGTTTCGTTTTGCCCGTCCCTTATTGCAGTCTGCCGTAGGGCGAAAGCATGAGTGTCAACGGTGATGTTCTTACTGCGAGCGATAGCTCGTGAATTCTCCTCTTGGAGGAAGGCCTGGTGAGCCCGGATCAAGTCTGGCAGTGGCATGCTTGACAGGAGGTTTCAGCAGACCGTCCCATACACATCATCATCAATTCCAATGAGGAATTGATGTAATTTCTCCTCTTCACAGTCTGCCGCAAACTTCTCGACGATGTTGCACGTACATAATCCACAGGTGCATGCGTGGAGAGGCTTCAACCTATTCAGTTCATCATAAAGGCCCATAAGCAACGTATAATACGCATAAACGGACATCGACTTCAACTGTTTGCAATCAGTAATTGAGGCTCGGAGTCTCTGTATTCTGGGTCCATTAGCCACACTAAACCGACCCTCCAAATACACCCAAAGAGTCATGGCTTCTTCATGAAACGGAATGGAGATGGCCACCGTAGGATCCATGCTTCTGAGAATCCATGAAACAATCATGGAGTTATTAGTTTCCCAGTCAAGAATCCTTGCCGCTTCAGTTGGCTTTTTAATGGTGTCGTCAACAAACTCGTACTTCTGACGGGCCTTCAAGGACAGAGTCATACCTCTCGTCCATGCCACACAGTCTTTTGTATCGCTTTCTAAATTAATAAAATAATGGCAAGTGTCCCCCGGCATTTGCCCCACTGATTTTGGTGGTTGACCTTCTGGGGTAAAAAAAAAAAGGATAACATGTGTGATAAGATTCCCCGGTTGATCTCCGGGACCAAGGTAATACGGTGAGGATGTGTCAATCTTCGGCAAAGCATCATCTCCCATGGCTTCCGTATGTGACACGCTGGTGTCGCACAGGACTGTCGAAGAAGGAAGATAGCCGTGTAATTCCTATTGAGTCTCTGATACCATATTAAACTTATGTTAATTATGGAATAATAATATTGATTGATACTCTGCCTTTAACGTATGAGTACAAGGAGTATATATACAAGTTGGCTGCAGCCCTATTACCTACTGAACTACACAAAATCGGCCCATTAATATACAAACCGAACCAATAACATAAAATATATACACACGTGCTCCAACAGGGCTAGTCAAACCCAGGATCAAGAACGTCTGATGGATTATAGGGATCCAAACATACATAATTAGGAGAGATTTGATCAAGAAAGGTGAGGAAGAAGATGAATAGTATTGAATTATGGAATTATGACTTAGGGTTACAAGAAGCTCCAAGAGGAGTATAAACAGGGGAATCCGGATCTGGGCCTCTAATATGGGCCCGACAGACCCAGTTACATAAATGGACTGATATAAAAAAGGCTAATCTAGTGGATACAAATACAAATCGGACTGTACAATAATATAAATGATATCGGTGAAGCGTGTATGGGTCGCTGTCCAGGCCCAATAGTCGTGAGACCCTGGGGTCCAAGTCTATATACTCTATCAGGAGTCCCCCACTCCCTGAGTCGAGAGTACTCGAGGCGAAAGGGAGTACAGGCGAAAGGGAGTACAACTGTGTGCTGATCTGTCGTCGTCTGGTGAGTAAACTTCGTGAAAATTTTGGAATTTCTGCTTCTTTGGTTAACGATGGCGCTAAGTCCCCCGCTCATCCAGCCCCTACTCCTTGAGGTGAATGTAGTGAGGTGAAGAGGAGTAGAGTAGTGCATGTCTCGTGATGATGTCTTCAATAGGGGGGCCGAGGGTCGAGACCTTTTGATCCACAATGGGGAGATGCCTCGTTAAAAACCTCATTAGGAAAAAACCCTGTGGGAAAAAATCCTAATGAGGGAAAAAGAGTACATCGGATGCCTCCAAAATGAAGCAAAAAGGTGTGAACCCTTCGGCCTAGGCGCGGCGCTGCAACGGTGTCCGTCTGCTGAGGGGATGGCCGAGACCAGTCTCTCGATGTGAGTAGCTCGGCATGCTAAGTAGTCCTGGTCATCATTTAATTGCACCTATGCATTCAAATAAAATTGTTATAATTTCTTGAGCTTTCAATTCGTTATTGGATTTGGGCCTACATTAAATGGCCACAAATTTTCAAGCTGGAGCTCGAATTATGTTTCTATGCTTAATTGGAGTGTGACATGCGCCTAATCTAGAGTGTATTAGATAACATTTGGATTTGGAGCTTATTTATCGCCACACCCGTTTGTCGTGACCCGTGGCGCGAGACTTCAATAGTCCGCCGGTGTACGCGAGTGCTCGGAATAAGTCCGTTTTTTCATGTGTCAAAAAATACACACTATTTTACAAATAATGATAATAGATTAATAATCTAACTCAACTTCCCACTCAAGTTCGTAGTTCGAATCCGCCAGTCCGCGCTTTTCGGGATCTTTTAACAGATGACTCGCCCCTCAAGATTGAAGTTTGATGTTAAATTATTAACTTTTCATCATATGACTTTTTTGTAAGTCGTTAAAAGTAATGATAGTAAATTAATAATCTAGCTCAACTCGTCACTCAAGTTCGTAATTCGAATCCGCCAGTCCGCGCTTTTCGGGATCTTTTAACGGATGACTCGCCCCTCAAGATTGAAGTGTTTTGCTATATTATTAAAATATTTCATTTTATGACTTTCTTTTTTGGATGTCTTTAAAAGTAATGATAATAAATTAATAATCTAGCTCAACTTGCCACTCAAGTTCGTAGTTCGAATCTGCCAGTCCGCGCTTTTCGGGATCTTTTAACGGATGACTCACCCCTTGAGATTGAAATTTGATGCTATATTATTAAAATATTTCATTTATGATTTTGTGTTTGCATTGTTGAATCAATTTAAGAATTTGACAAATTATATAAAAATTAGAGAAAGTGCACTTAGCTTTTGTTGGGCTGAACTCTTTCTTAAAGTGTGAGCCGTGTTGCTGGAAATTTGGGCCTGATGCCGTCTTGCCCTTGGCCAGATCTTTGCTCAGCCGAGAACAACACTGCCTTCCAACTCAGTCACGCGAGGAGAGAAAGTGTGGTAGAGACTTCCGCCGGTGTGGACGAAGAGAAAGCGAAGGAAAGGACCTTCGACCGGCCGTCGCTGCTGCTCGTGCGGAGGACCTTTGGCTCTTTGCAGGAGCTAATCAGGATTCAGGCGAGTTGCGGCTTACGACGCTGCAACAGATGCTGGACCGACCTGCAGGCTGGTGATGCGGCGGATCCAGCCCAAAAGGCATCTGGTGACGCTGCGACAGGAGGAATGAGCCGCGAACGGCCGTCCTGCGAAGTCGGTGGCGACCCAACTACCAGCGTTTGTAGGCGGCGAGGTCTGCAGCAACGGAAGTTAGATCCGAAGCGACGACAGTGAGAGCCGGAGCAGCGACAAACGGATCTGGAGCGGTGGTTTCAAAGTCTGGAAACAGCGGTGAGATCTGGAGCAACGAAAGACCAGCAACACCCAATGACAGCCGGAAGATCTGGAGCAGCGACAAGAATGTCGGGCGCAACGGCAGGGAGATCTGGAGCAACGGCGGCGACTCCAGCCCACGCGCCGGCAGCGACTCCAGGCCACGCACTGGCGGCTACAGTCTTGTCTTGGATATTTCCGGATCATCGGCTCGAGATGCTGTCACTTCTCCCGTTGACCGACTATGCTGGCGGCAGAGTAAAGATCTGACCGGGCTACTCCCAGATCTCCAAAATCCTAGATTTCTTTCTTCTGTTTTGTTGCTGTTGACATTTTCAGATCTGTTTTTGACTGATTTCTTGTAAATGGAATGATTTTTGGGAGGATTTCTCACTTGATTATGCTCAAACTCTCAATGAAAGCACCAAATGATGGATTATAGGGATCCAAACATACATAATTAGGAGAGATTTGAGCAAGAAAGGTGAGGAAGAAGATGAATAGTATTGAATTATGGAATTATGACTTAGGGTTACAAGAAGCTCCAAGAGGAGTATAAATAGGGGAATCCGGGTATGGGCCTCTAATATGGGCCCGACAGACCCGGTTACATAAATGGACTGATATAAAAAAGGCTAATCTAGTGGATACAAATACAAATCAGACTGTACAATAACATAAATGATATCGGTAAAACGTGTATGGGCCGCTGTCCAGGCCCAATAGTCGTGAGACCCTGGGGTCCAAGTCTATATACTCTATCAACGTCCAAGTTAACGTTACGAATATAGGATAGAGCCTCCGGGATAGATATCCGGGATTTATTTTACAGGAAATGGTGAGAGACCGAGGACTACATCCTTATAATTGTTTTGATTAAAACAAATTAAACGACCTGCAGGGTCGGATATTTTTACAAGTATATACTATGGGTATTATCTTGTGGGTGGGGTAGTGTAGATTACGCCCTTATATATGCATTACCCTATGTTCGGGTCGTCTACTTGAAACATTAGTTATCGATCCT